GTTCATTCATGGTGGTGAACGCGTCGGGCCGAGCGTCGGGACAGAAGGCTCACCTGTACATGCCCACCCTGAAGGAGAACGACACCCACTGCATCGACTTCCTTTACTCTCTGTCGAGCCGAGACGGAGCCAGCCCAGGCACACTCAACGTCTACATCAAGGTGTGTGTGTGTGTGTGTGTGTGAGTATGTGTGTGTGTGACTGACAGGGAGGGATGGATTGGCAGATTGAAAGGGCTGATGGACTGGAGCAGGTAAACAAACAAACAGACCTCTGTTCTCTGTCAAGGAGGGATGAAATTAGCCCTGGGGCACTGAGTCTTTATGTACTGTAGGTGTGTGTGTGTGTGTGTGCGTGTGTGTGTGTGTGTGTGTGTGTGTGTGTAAACAGACAGACCTCATCTATTCCCTCTCAGAAGGGATAAAGTCAGCGATGGTGACAATTAAAAGATGCCGTTGTCGTAGGGGAGCAGTGAGGTTAATGGGAAATGTAGTCTAAATGAAACAGTAGCACGACAGGAGCTATTTATTGGTTTAATTAACATCTTGTTTAAAACAGTAATTAATACAGTAATAATATAATAAAAATCACACCTTTTTTTTTAATTTGAAAGACCTTGAAAATTTTCACTTTTACTTTGTGAAATTGTTATTTTTCATCTGTCTCTCCTCGCCGTCTGGCTGCAGGTAAACGGCGGCGCTCAGGGCAACCCGGTGTGGAACGCCTCCGACACTGTCACTGAAGGCTGGGTGAAGGCTGAGCTCGCCATTTCTACGTTCTGGCCTAACTCCTATCAGGTAACACACACACACACACACACACACACACACACACACACACACACACACACACACACATTCCTTCTGCAAAAGCTGACTGCAAGACATATATTTTACATGATACACCCTGACAACAATACAAGCTACATTAAAAATGATACAGAGACATTGATCAGACAAACGTTTTGTCCGTCATCCGTCTGTAGAGAATCAACCGAAGATGAAACTCCTGTTTTAATGTGATTCTGATCTATAATTACTCTCCCTAACGCTGTGTCGGACAGATCAGGTCAATATTTGATATTTCAGCTGTTCTGCCTGTGGCTGTTTGACTTTTTAATTGCCCCCCCCCCCCTTCCAAAAGAAAAAAGAAAAAAAGAAAATCAAATATTTAACTTATAGACAGGAAGCTTGAGGTCAGTCAAGCGAAGAAGCCGTCTGCATTTGTTTCCGGTGGTTGATGTGTGGAAGGTAAAATAAGAATGATTTTATTTCATTTTATTATATTTATTTTTATTTTTGCTTTTCAGATGTTTTCATAACAAATCACTCTTGACTGCTGCACGAAAAAAAAAAATAAACCTTAGCCTCCTAGAGTTTCTGAATTTATCAAACTGTACAATTACAAATTGCCCTCACATTGACACCAGGCCAGGAAACCAGACAGCCTCTTTGTTTGGTGAGATACCAGCATTCAGCTACCAAGATTATTAAGAAAAACATTGTTTGTGTAGCGATCTACTGCTAGCAACGTTAGCATTGTAGCTTGGTGGCCCTGAAGAGTCCTATGGGTGGATCCTTCATGGACCAAACTACTAAGACTATTCAAAAAGAGGATAAGGCAGATTCCACGCCGTCGTAGGCCACGTCCTTCCCCTCTGAATTGAGACGCAGCTTCAGAAATGAGCATTTAGCTAACATGTTAGCAAACAGTCTCTTAACTAGTTTGCAGAAACACATCGACACAGACTTAAAATGTAAGTCGAACATAGACTTTTACCTCTTAAAAATATCTGTCTCTCTTTGGTTTGCTAATGTTTCATTTTAATCACAAATCACTCCTTTCTTTGTCAGGCATGTAAGGCAGCTAGCTGCACAGTTAGCTGAAAAGCTAGCTGCACAGTTAGCTGTAAGTAATTTGAATCAATATTTCATTAACAATATCACCATAAACACTGTTTAATGCATCATTAATAGTGTACACCAAATCTGAGGAACTTTTGTTTTCATAATGAATCTGTCTTCACACCAGCTGACTATGATGCTACGTGCTAATTCTTTAGCATGCACTGTGGGCCGACTGATAGTAGCAGCTACAAAGCTAAATCTAATTATTTGCGTCCATGCCTGTTGTTTTTGTGTTAGTAAAGATTACGTACAGTGAGATCTGAAATAGATAGAAGCTGAAGTTGTTCTAACAGGTGTTAAGACGACCAACAGGCCTCCTATTCTTTTAACGTTCAAACACTAAACTAAAAAACTATTTATTGAATCTCAATTTGTGTGTGTGTGTGTGTGTGTGTGTGTGTGTGTGTGTGTTCAGAGACGTGCCCTGCTGTGTTGTTTTATTGAAGTAGCACAAAAGCCACTGTGTTTTACCTAATGACTGAGCTGTGTTCGGTAAATTAAGGCACCCATGTGTCGCACACACACAGATCTGAGACACAAAGTGACTGAAATGTGTGTGTGTGTTTCCCCTCCTTAATGAGGAGTCATCTCCTGCCGAGAAATGACACTTTATTTTTCTTAAAAGGACAAAACATTGTGATTGTAAAGTACAGACCACTGTGAAGGCAGCAACAAACATTTCTTTTGAACCAGCTAAATTTTCTGCATCTCAAATACACAGTACGGTGCAGGGGGTTATAGTGCGTTATACATCTGCAGGTGAATTTTGTGATGTGTTTTCAGGTGCATTTGCACTATAACTGAAATAAAGAACATATTTTCATGTTTTGACACATATTTACATGATAAACACGAAATTTCTCATATTTTCATGACACGTGTTTCTTAATTTGCTGGTCTGTGTCCATGTAAACACAGCCTGAACTGCAAGATGTTTTTGCTTTTTTAAATATACTGAACAAAATCACTGCTAGACCTTTAAAGCAAGCAGTAACTCAAGCAGTCGACGTAGAGACTTGTAGCATCTACCGGTAGTCTGCATGTGAGGCGTTTAGGAGACATCTGTAAATTGTAGCATGTATCAATACTTTGCATGTGAGGCGTTTAGGGGACATCTGTAAATTGTAGCATGTATCAATACTTTGCATGTGAAGCGTTTAGGGGACATCTGTAAATTCTACTCACTACCAGTAGTCTGCATGTGAGGCGTTTAGGGGACATCTGTAAATTGTAGCTTGTATCAGTAGTTTGCATGTGAGGCGTTTAGGGGACATCTGTAAATTCTATAAGATACCAATATTCTGTATGTGATATATCTAGGGGACATCTGTAAATTGTAGCATCTACCGGTAGTCTGCATGTGAGGTGTTTAGGGGACATCTGTAAATTGTAGCGTGTATTATTAGTTTGCACATGATGTGTTTAGGGGACGTCTGTAAATTGTAGTATCGCCACTGCATGCTGGATTTGATCCCAAGACGGTACATGCCTCCTAGACCACTGTGCCACCATGATGACTGCAAGGTTGCTAATTTAATTCATATTTTGGGGGAGACACCTGACATCGTTATCAAAACAAGTAAGAAAAAAAAGCTTCAAGAGAAGAATTTTAAACATTTCAAAATGAACTACTGTAAATAAACTACATTTTATTCAAATCTGGGTCAAGTCGGAATCAAAAAAATTATATGAGATACTTTCACTTTCAAAAATTAACTGTCAAAATGCTGTTGCACTGAAAAAAAAAAGCTTTTCCAGTGTCTTTGACTTCTATAAACTTGACATGCATGTCAGAGAGGGGGATTTATTTTTGTAGGGAAGGAGGAGAGAAAAGTCTTCCCAGAAGTCTTTAGTATTCAGACCGAGTCACAGCTTATACTGTTGAGGATCCTGACAAGTACAGCACAGAGGTGTGTGTGTGTGTGTGTGTGTGTGTGTGTGTGTGTGTGTGTGTGTGTGTGTGTGTGTGTGTGTGTGTGTGTGTGTGTTTATAAGTGTGGGTCAGGAGTGCACGGCCCCTTGACAGCTCTGCTGACTGCCTGTCACCCCCCGAGAGTGAGTGTAAAGAAAATGTAAAAATGGAGAAAACAGAGGAGCGATGTGACGGAGAAAGAAACAAAAGAGCAATTACAAGAAAAAGGCAAAATGGAGACGAGGAGAGGGAAGGAGAGAAAGAAACAGAGAGAGGAACAGGAGGAGATCAAGAATGGTGGGAGGGAGGAGGAGGTGTGATTGAAAAAGAAAAGGAGGATGGGGTGAGGAGGAGAGGAACGGCATATGTGGTTGGCATAAGGATGGAGACAGGAGCATGAAGGGATGAAGTGAAAAGAAGAAAAGTTGCTGACTTTTAGTGGAAAATTCCCCTGGGGTTTCCATATGAGCTTCGCAGGGGCGTCAAGATGTTGCAGTTTGTGGAAGAAAGAAAGATTTTTACAGAAAACTGTGGCTCAATGTCTTTCTTTCTTTCTTTCTTTCTTTCTTTCTTTCTTTCTTTCTTTCCTTCCTCAGGTAATATTTGAAGCAGTTTCAGTCCAAGGCCATCCGGGTTTCATCGCCATCGACGACATACGTGTTCTGGCTCACCCCTGCCGTAAGTGACTGTGTGTGTGTCCATGTGTGTGTGTGTTATAATGGTTGACCCCGTATGACTGTAGCCCCCCCCCCCACTGAGCGTCATCTGTTTTACAGCTATCTCACACTTAGACACACACACACACACACACACAGACACACAAAATGCTGCGTAAAGGACAGATTGTGAGGCCGGCAGACAGATTGCAGAGGAGCAGGGGATGAAGGTCCAAACTCAGGGTCTTCATCAGTCAAGTCTGACAGAAACACTTGGCTTCACAAAACTGCGAACTGCTTACCGCAACACTCTGCGGCCGACTCCCCGCTCACACTCCCACTGTGTCGTGTGTGTGTGTGTGTGTGTGTGTGTGTGTGTTGCATTATGTTTTAGTACAACAAAACTTGGTTCTTGTGTCTCTCAGATAATGAGTCTTGTTTTAAGAACTACAGGGGAGAGTTGTTCTAAATGGTGGTACATAATTTAGAGCAGCACAATAAAACACCAGAAGCTCTTTTTGTTTTAATTTGGAAGAATGCAAACAAGCTAACACATTTAGTTTTTCTCTTCTCTCTACTTTCTTCTTCTTTATTTCTGTCTCTTTTTTAATTTTTTTTAGTTTTAAGGCTGGCACAGACGACGTCGCTCATCTGTGCCAGTCACTCATCAGATTAGTCAAAGCAGGGGGGTCGAGAGAGGAAGAGAGTAGAGGTATTCACAACGGAAGAAAGAAAAAAGAAAGAAGAAAACAAAAAACAAAATGATGAATAGAGAGGGAGGAGAGAAAGAGAGAAGAGAGGTTACTCAAAAACACAACCTTCATATCTGAATTCTTGTCATTTGCAACAACCTGACCATTAGCGTCAGTGCGAATTATCGTTGTTAAATGATCGATGCAGAGTCCGTCAGGCTTATCTCTGTCTGCAGACAGTCCAAATGAAATTAACCAGTCGCAGGCTGCTCTCAATGCCAGGCCAAAGTCACCCAACGTCTCCCTGTCTGTCTCCCTGTCTGTCTCTCTGTCTGTCTCTCTGTCTGTCTCCCTGTCTGTCTCCCTGTCTGTCTCCCTGTCTGTCTCACTCCAGACAATTATATGAAGCCCAGTTTGAACTGTATTACTGTTGTTGTGTTGTTCCTTATCACCAGCAGCATCTGCTCTTATAATCCACTGTGAATTTACTGCGTCTTAATGACAAGATGATGTCAGTCAGCGCACCGCCGGCGGTCTGTCAGCGCACCGCCGGCGGTCTGTCGGCGGTCTGTTGGCGGTCTGTCGGCAGTCTGTCGGCGGTCTGTCGGTGAATTTAAAGTTCTAATCTGAAACTTTTGCACATTAAAACGTGTAAAAACATCTAGATATATGTTCAATATGTTGTTGAGTTGTGTTCTTACATTTTCCCAAATGTTNTGAATGACGGTGAATTTAAAGTTCTAATCTGAAACTTTTCCACATTAAAACGTGTAAAAACGTGATTTCCTGAACCACTGACACTGAAGGAATCCAAACCCGGGTGGAGCTTATGGCAATGGTGGTGGAGACGACACTCCCATGATCCCACGCCGTCTTTTGTTATTGTTTTGATTGACAGGCAGAAGTTACGGACTGTGTGTTTAACACACGATGACAGAACTGTTGTTCNCTTATCGTGGTAACGTTTCATTGGTCGCCTGTCAATGACATCATATCCTCTATGATCATATCGTCAAAACTGACTTTTATTCAGTGTTTTTTAACAGTTAGAATCACCGGGTCTGTTTGATTTCCTGAACCACTGACACTGAAGGAATCCAAACCCGGGTGGAGCTTATGGCAATGGTGGTGGAGACGACACTCCCATGATCCCACGCCGTCTTTTGTTATTGTTTTGATTGACAGGCAGAAGTTACGGACTGTGTGTTTAACACACGATGACAGAACTGTTGTTCGTTCAGGAAGGATTCATTAAACCTGGTTTCTCAAGAGACACGTTAAACAAACCCAGACGACCTGCTTCTCCTCCACTTTCCAGACCATATATATCCCATTATAAATATGACTCATCGCATCAGAAACACTGTCTGCGTGCGGGGTGTCAGTTCATCTCCTCATTCTCCTGTGTGTGTGTGTGTGTTGCAGGTAAAGCGCCTCACTTCCTGCGTCTGCAGAACGTGGAGGTGAACGTGGGGCAGAACGCCACGTTTCAGTGTACCGCCGGAGGGAAATGGTCTCAGCACGATAAACTCTGGCTGCAGGTTCGTACCTTCATATCAGTAAATATGTGCATGAATGATATCGGCGCACAAACAGAGCCGGAGTAAAGGAAGGTCAGAAAACTGTGATAACAGAAATGTAAGTGTGTGTTTCACCGGCAGATTGTCAGTGAACTTTGTGAAATAAATGTAGAATATAATGCTGTGCTGTCTACAGGTGAGTATAATAACAAAATGAACTGGAGGGATTATAAATAACTTAAACATAAACTTTGTGCACCTTAAAATAAAGTGTAGCTTCAGTTTCTGACTGTCTCAACACCTGCATTTCACTTTCTTTCCCTCTTATATCAAACTTCCCACACTTATTTCGTTTGTGTATGTCACTGATTGGAGGCAGTGATTGGTTGAGCTGCGTCACGTGACCAACATGAGCCGTAAAGGCCAAAAAAAAAGCTGCATCATTCTCAGTGATTTACAGGTAATATGTCCGGCCTCTCTGATGTATCACACAGCAACAACAGCAGCCACTTGTCGTTCCTCTTTACGTCACAGAGAGTCGTGACGCTGGAGACAACACTGATCAGCCTCTCCTCCATTTTGTTTTAAATTCATTCCCACGGTGGAGGAGTGAAAACCTCTGTGTGTTTCTGCTGGTGATCATGATTCACTCTCGTAGTGAAGCCAGGCGCTTTGTGAGTCTGTCTAGCTCAGTGGGTGGGTGGGT